GAGCCTTAGCCACTTGAGCCACAGGCATCGAGCCCAAGAAACAGATTTTAACACTTAATTTTACGAGAACATTTTTTAAAGTTTTATCATGCCAGAGATAGTGATAAGAGCCAACATTAATTATTTATTCAAATTCTGTTTGATGTATCACCCGAATTTTCTCAACAAGGTATTTTTTTGCTATGAGTTATTGCTTTACTTGTGTTAGTATACAAGCATAATACCAAATTAACTTCATTGTCTAATGTACATGCAAAATAATTTGAGTCCCAGTCCAAAACCCTGTATAGTAGGGGTCAGCCAACTATGGCCTTTAGACTGCCTGCCAGTTTTTGTGAATAAAGATCTATTGTTATACAGCCAATCCCTTCTGTTTATGTATTGTCTATGCCTGGTTTCACAGTAAATAGCTGAGTTGGAATAGTAACAAACATTATAAGCCTGTAAGCATAAAAAATGTACTGTCTGGCTTGGCACCTGAGGCTCAAGCGGCTAAGGCACTAACCACATACACCAGAGCTGGTGGGTTCAAATCCAGGCCAGGCCTGCCAAACAACAATGACGACTGCAACCAAAAAATAGCCGGGCGTTGTGGTGGGCGCCTGTGGTCCCAGCTGCTTGGGAGGTGGAGGCAGGAGAATCGCTTGAGCCCAGGAGTTGGAGGTTGCTGTGAGCTGTGATGCCACAGTGCTCTACCCAGGGCGACAGTTTGAGGCTCTGTCTCAAAAAAAAAATTTACCATCTGAAAAAGAACTGTCATTCCCTGCTTTATATTAACAACAATACTATAAGAAAGGATATATTTTACCTTCTAGAAAACTTGAATCTAAACTCTAAAACTTAAGAACCTGTAGTATTCCATTTTGTTTTTTAAAGACCTCTACAGGCACCCACCACAACACCCGGCTATTTTTTTGGTTGTAGTTGTCATTGTTGTTTGGCAGGCCCAAGCTGGATTCGAACCTGCCAGCTCTGGTGTATGTGGCTGGCACCCTAGTTACTGAGCTACAGGCACCGAACCTGCAGCTTACTTTTAAAATCCTAATGCTTAGCCTACCAGTATCAGACTAAGGAATCATTACCAGAAAATTGTTTCCAGAGCACTCTTAAGAATTTTCTCGGCTCGGCGCCTGTGGCTCAAGCTGCTAAGGCGCCAGCCACATACACCTAAGGTGGCGGGTTCAAATCCCCAGCCCAGGCCCGCCAAACAACAATGACGGCTGAAACCAAAAAATGACCAGGCGTTGTGGTGGGCGCCTATAGTCCCAACTACTTGGGAGGCTGAGGCAGGAGACTTGCTTGAGCCCAGGAGTTGGAGGTTGCTGTGAGCGTGATGCCATGGCACTCTACCTAGGGGGATAGCTTGAGGCTCCGTCTCAAAAAAAAAAAAAAAAGAATTTTCTCAACAGTATGGCTTCTGTTTATTTTTTATTTTAGTAATTAAAATTCTCTGTTGTTAATTTCATCTTGCAATGTGTAAGATTTCTGAAAATACTGATCAACCAAAGGAGGGAAAGCATGTTCATAGTAAAGTCATTCTGTTAATTTAGAAATGTGTCTTAGTTATCATAAAGATGTAATATTTATATTTAAATTTAATTAGATGTCAAGGTCTAGAAAAATGCTGATGTTTTTCTAACTTTTCTTCATTCTACTCCCCCTGCCAAGTCTTCAACATCTTTAGCCCAACAAACTAAAGTTTCTTTCTTTCTGTCTGTCTGTCTGTCTGTCTGTCTGTCTAGCTGTCTGTCTCAAGCTATTGCCCTGGGTAGAGTGCCATGGCACATTAGCTCGCAGCAACCTCCAATTCAGGCTCAAGCTGTCTACTTGCCTCAGTTTTTCTATTTTTAGTAGAGATGAGGTCTCACTTTTCCTCAGGTTTCTCTAAAACTCATGAGCTCAAGCAATCCACACACCTCAGCCTCCCAGAGTGCTAGGATTACAGGAGTGAGCCACTGTGCCTGGCCATATTTCCCTTTCTCTACAGAAACTTTGTACCAGTTTAGCTAACTCTTTATCCTTTCTATAGTTTCTTGGTCAATGAATTAAAAATAAAAATATCTTGGACTCAAATAGTAGTCTAGAAGATATATCGGTTTGTCATCTCAAATACCTTTTGTCTTTACTGAAATGAAGAAGCCTTTATCATGTATTTAAATATTAAATTTTATTCTCCAGAGAATACTTTAGATACTATTCTATAAAAATTACTATTATAAATAAAATTGTGTTCTTTCTTTCCTATATATTTCCTGAAGAAATTTCTCCATTAGGACAATCATTTTCCAGTCTGAGGAAAGTCCTATGAGATAATGTGACGATTTTCACAGAATGAATTACATAAACAAAAATTAAAACTATGACTTTAAAAAGTAGAAAATTAATTCATTTCATTTCACAAGATTCTCATTTCTAAACTTAATTTTGAAAGAGAGTTGCATTAATTTTTTCTTTTATAATTCCAAAGTTACCATAAATGTGAAAAGAATGTCTTCTCGAATAATAATTAATGGATTATCTCTGTTTCTCTCCAGAGTGATGACAGATCTAATGGTATATCAAGTTCACCTATGATGGAAACAGGTAATAGACACAGGGGTACAGTTAACTGCACTATAGTACTTTTTTGTAATTAAACATTTATTTGAATAACAAATTTAAATTTGAGCTGCAATGTTGGCAATGAGACTATAATTCTTTCTTTCTTTTTTTTTTTTTTTTTTTTTGAGACAGAGTCTTATTTTATTGCCCTTGGTAGAGTGCTATGGTATCACAGCTCACAGCAACCTCCAACTCGTGGGCTTAAGCCTGCCAAGTAGCTGGGACTACAGGTGCCTGCCACAATGCGCACCTATTTTTTGTTGCAGTTTGGCCAGGGCCGGGTTTGAACCTGTTACCCTTAGAATATGGAGCCAACACCCTACCCACTGAGTCACAGGCGCTGCCCAAGACTATAATTCTTTACCTGTATTTTCCTGGTTAAGTTACTTCTTAGAGAGCTATGGCTTCTTTTTCTGAGATGGAAATCAGGCCCCAAATTGGACATTTTCTATGCTGTTTTTTTCTTTTTTTCAATTCAGCTGGCTCAACTACTTAGCCATTTGATATGAACAGTGAACATCAGCCAGCAGGGATATAGGTTTATAAGAGATTGTGTTCAATATGTTAACTTCATTCCACCTTCATTGATACACCACAAATAACAGGATAATTAAAAATGCAGATAAGCAGTCTCCCTGCCTTCATGTTTACTTTTCTATATCACACTTTTCTTTTTGAACCCTTCACCTCTGGTATATGGGGTCAGCGCCCTACTCTTTGAGCCACAGGTACTGCCCCAGACTTTTTATTAATAAACAAAATTAGTGTTTCATATCATTGCTGCTTGATTTTTTTTCTTTATTTGCTATTTATTGAAATTTTATGGCAGGTGGGTATCTATTGTTATATTTAATTTGCCTTCTTTAATCTCATTTTGCTTTATCTTGCTGATTTAGTTCATCACTCCCCTGCATATTCTTTTCCTGCTGGTATCCAGAGAAATCAGCCCCAGCGCCCTGAAAGTTTCCTTTTCCGAGCAGCTGTCAGGACAGAAACAACTAAAGGTAGGTGGTAGTGATTTTTAAAAGGCAGGGGCAGTGGGTGTGTATGTTACACAATGACACAAGCTATTACATGATTTCAAACTTCTCCACAGCTGTGGTCTTAACAGAAGCTTTAAACTCTGCATTAAGTCTGTGATCTCACTGTCATTAAACCAGGCAAATCTTGTTTAAATTTGTTTTAATAAGAAAGTTCCATAGTACCACCTAAAAGCAGGTTATAAAGTATTCGAACAAATAAAATGCTCTCAATGCCTTAGAGAATATTCCTCCTTTTCGTAATAAAGTCTTTTCAGATTTTTTTCTATTGATAAAAGCAGTTTTCTATGTTATTAAAGGAAAAATCAGTAATTTCTTTAAAAATTTACTTAAATTCTCCTTTTATTTAATAATGACAGATTTCCAGTTATTATGTATATTTGGAAATTTCCATAATAAAAAAGCTTTTTAAAAAATCAGGCCTGGAGGGCAGCACCTGTGGCTCAGTGGGTAGGGTCCCAGCCCCATATACCAAGGGTGGCGGGTTCAAACCTGGCCCCAGCCAAACTGCAACAACAACAACAAAAAACCAGCAGGGCATTGTGGCAGGGGCCTATGGTCCCAGCTACTCAGGAGGCTGAGGCAAGAGAATCGCCTAAGCCCAAGAGTTGGAGGTTTCTGTGAGCTGTGATGCCACAGCACTCTACTGAGGGTGATAAAGTGAGACTCTGTCTTGAAAAAAAAAAAATCAGGCCTGGTCCTGGTGGCTCATGCCTATAATCCCAGCACTTTTGGAGGCCTAGGCCTAGGGGTGGGGGATAACCTGAGCTCAGGAGTTCGAGACTAGCCTGAGCAAGACCAAGACCCCATCTCTACTAAAAATAGAAAAACTAGCCAGCCATGGTGGCAGTTGCCTATAGTCCAAAGTACTCAGGAGGCTGAGGCTAGAGGATCACTTGAGCCCAAGAGTTAGAGGTTGTTATGAGCTATGATGCCACAGCACCCTACCCAGGGTGACAAAGTGAGACTCTGTCTCAAAAAAAAAAAAATCAACCCCAGAAAGTAGAAAGCACTATACTGTACTTGCAAGGAAACTGATTAGGCAGATCTGGGTATTTTCCTAACACTGGCGATCACTTTTTTATGTTACATATTAATTTTTTTTCTAGGTCATGCATCACCCCTTCTTCCATCTTCTGCACCTGCCACTGATGCTACAGACTCTGTAACAAGACAGAATTCAAAACAGAGAGAGGAAGAACTAGAATTAATAGATCAACTACGGAAAGTATGTACATTACCTTTGAATTACACTTTTTCAGTGATACTGCTATAGTTCATAATCCTGTAATCATTTCTTCATTTGACAAGTAATTTTTAATAGAATCAACAAGTGTCCATTGTGTGCCGTGTTTTGTGATAAATATAAAAGAAATTTTGCTATTAAGAAGATTGTTTTCAACTATTTACTTAGACAATGAGATGACTTATTCTGTAATGAATAAAGCTCAATTTCTGGCCCTACTCATTAAAATTTTCTTCCTTTCCTTTTCACCTCTTGTTGTAAAGAAATCTTATAAAAGTACTAATAATTTATATGCATGTACCATATACATATTACACTTACATGTATATAGTAAGTGATTGGCTATCTTATTTTAGAATTGAAAGAGAATTCAGATTTTTTAAATCAAAATATTGTAAATTGATTTTTGTTGTACTTTGCACCTCTATGGCCTGGCTGCCATACATATATATATATATATATATATGATCTCATTATTACTGATACAGGATAAAGAGATAAAATAGATGCTGTGATATTTTTTTACTTTTTATCTTCCTTTCTAAGTAACTATATTTTATTGTAACTCTATTATGTCCTATGTGTCAGTCACTCTTCAGTTAATATTATTCATTTTTCTATTCTTTTAGCATATTGAGTACCGGTTGAAAGTATCTCTACCTTGTGATCTTGGAGCAGCTCTAACTGATGGTGTTGTTCTTTGCCATTTGGCCAATCATGTGCGACCTCGATCTGTCCCAAGCATTCATGTTCCCTCACCAGCTGTAGTAAGTTTATAGCACTAAAAAACATTGGCACCTTTATAGTATATAATGCTAAAACTCATCAGACATTTGTTAAGCACAGTGGCAAGCATTGTACTGGATGTGAGAGATACAGATAGGAAGA